ATTCAGTGAGTTAGACCGTTCGGTTCCGCGTGTGATTGGTTGCATGTCTAGGTCCTCCAGTAGAGAGGTTAGAGTAAGGGTGCCAACTTTTTCTGTAGCCTACTTTAGTAGGGCAACCCTCCCCCAAAAAAGGTGGTGAAAGGCCATTTGACTTGCTGATGGGGCAATGAACTGCGGGCGTGCGGACACAGTTGTTTATGAACTGACAACATGTTTGGTATATACTGTGGATGGTTGCAAAATCCATTTCGCGCCAGGTTGAAGCCATGGTTTGTTGGCTTCTTGCAGGGAAATACCATTCCCGAGGGAATCTGAACGGTGGTGCGAGAAGCGGATTTCGCAACCATCCAGGGTTCCCTGGAGTCCCTTGCAGGCGTAGCCATTAGGTAGGGTAGCTGATCACACTGTGTCGGCGACTTCATTCTTCGCTGAGGCTGAAGAATACATCTGAGGGGCGCTCAGAGGCCCGGAATCCGCTCCCAAGCGCCTCCGATCGTGAGCATCGATTGTTGAGGCAAGACTTGGCCTTTGGTTTCATTCCGACTCACAGAGAAATCATCCCTACCCCCATGTCTTATGTTGAGAGTAGGATATGTCTGTGGGTGAAACCTATGGCACCATTTTGGGGGCCCAACGGAGGGAAGGGCACCGGTGTTAGAGCCTTGCTTGTGGAGCGGGGCAATCGTTGGGCGTGTGACTTCGGAAGCTTGTCGCAGGTTATTTTCTCCACATCCGCTTGCGGCTTTGGGCCACCAAGGAGTGGTCCCTTTCATTTCCTTGGGTGCATTTTGCTTGGAGGTTAGGACTGAAAAACTGTTTGCCAACTTAGGGCGGTTTTCCATTACTGTAAACCACCAAAAGTTAAACACTTTTGGCAGGGGAGGTTTCAGGGAAGCCATCAAACCACAAATGGTGTTCTGCTCCCCACTGAAAGCCACCGAGTTTCCCATTTCGGGAGAGTGAGGCCTGGCTCGACCAGAAGCTCCGGGCTCTCTTCCAAGACATCGACGTCACCGGCCTCAAGGAGGCAGCAAGTCGCCAGCCGCTTCGCTCGAGTCGCGCGCGTTTGGCAGATTCTCGAAAGCGGAAAGCCACGGAGGACGTTGGGCAAACGAGGAGAACAGATACTGGTTTTTGTGTTGCACGGCTGAATCATTCGAAGGTGGTCGTGGGGTGACATCCTTGACACTGAATCGAGTTATGGTCAAAGGAGCAGCACGCTTGCATTGCCGGGCCGACCATGTGGATCAATCTCGCCCCCGGACCTACGTCCTCCAGATAAACGAACACCCATTATAGTAGTTTCCGGCTTTGACTGGATATTCGGGAAAAACATCGTAGCGTTTTTTGCCGCAAAAATATGAAACTGGTAAAAACTCCTAAACAACACACTATTGCAATGCTCGCGGCCTTGGACAAATTAAATGAAGCTTCCCAGGGGCAAACTACCGAATGCAGCCCGCAGGTTTGTCAAAACATGCAACGGCGGTCCAAGATGTGCAGTGCGGAAAAAAAGTAACCATATTGACCGCAAAATGCCCGCAAATGTCCGCACATCTCCCGCAAAAACCCGCAAACTCCCGCAATTCGGAAAAAGCTGTAGTTTTGATGATCAAGGCATCCTATGGTGTTTACTGGCACGTTGGCAAGTGCTGCGAGGTGTATTTACTTATGGCCAGTGCGCGACTGGAAACGACGCAAATCGTATTTGTGTCTGCCAGAATTGAAGCTAAACCACCGGAATTCGGTAACTCGTAGGCATCTCCTAAAATACCCAGAATTTTCCCGGAGTTTGAGGATCCGGGCCTTTGCGTTTGCAGGCCCATTTGGGTAAATACCAGGGCTCCGGATGGAAGAGGCCTTGTTGATTGGCCAAAGCTCTCAAAAAACCTGCTTTATATGAGAGCCTCGGAACGGCACGATACCTGGCGAGCAGATATTGTCCTTGACATGAATTCTTAAGCAGTGTACCAAATACACGTTGATGTTGAGAGACTGCATCTGGTTGAGAACGGCACAGCTTTAGATACTTTCCCGCGGCTGCATCCTGCGAGACATGTCGTTGGAGTTTCAACGGATGTTAAGGACGCTTAGCCGTAACGTTGTCAGAGTTGTGTGCCCAGAGTTGTTTCAGTGGCAGACCGGCACATCATTTTCTTTTTAGTTGGGTTGGTTCCCAACTAAACATGCTCGACAGCAAAACGGGTTTCTCACGTGGTCCTCCCACTTCACTTCCACGAGCTTCCCGCGGCCATGCTTCTCCAATGTTGTTTGCCTAAGCGCTTTGTCCCCTTTTGTGTTTTTTCATGTTCCAACCAGCAAAGGTTGTTTGCTTCTTCATTTTCCATCCAGCACAATGTTTTTCTGCAGTTTCCAAGCAGCGAAGGTCGTAACTGCTTTCCGGGCCCCCCAAAGAAAGAAACAAAACTAGCCCGCGAGCTGCTTTCCGGGCCCCCCAAAAGAAACCTTCGCATGAAACTAGCTCGCGAGCTCATCTCTAGTTCTCAAGCTCCGCTTTTTTCTCGAGCCGCGAAAGGCCGGCGATTGGACCGCGAAAGGGCAACGGGATTATTGGGAATTTAGACGCTGCATGGTGTTTGGGTCGTGGTGCCAAGGCACGTCTCGCTCGTTTTTGACCGCGCGGGCTCGCACAAGGTTTCCCCTGGAATGCTGAATGTTGATTTCTTCTGCACAGGCCCAGACAGATAGCGCTTTCCAAATCAACCTGATTGCTGGCACGGCCTGAAAGCTGCAAACCGAAGTTTCGCCGCCAAATTCCGCGATCTATGCCACTTCCTTCCTGTTTCCAGGTATGGATGGAAGGCCAGCGCTTGAGATAAGGCGGAAGGCGAGACAGAAGCAGCAGCGATGCCCAACGTCCCGCGATTGACCTGGCGATTGGGTCGCAGGTGAGCCTGGCGGAGCTGCATGCCTCCTTCGCCAAGCTGCGGCTCGGACATCGGGCTAGAGAGACGTTGAGGGAAAAGGAGGTCGGGCTCTTCCAAATGTGGTTTTGTAGGTGAAACTAGCTGGTAGATGGTTCATTAACCAGGATTCTGTAGGTGGGTGTTTTGTTTTCGCTCCCAAATCCTCTCTTGAATGGGGACAGCTCTGTATTGATCAGCCAGAGGATGGGGATCAACAGCTTGCTTACTGTGGATGGACGAAATTGCCCTTCAATTGGCAGATGGTTTATCAAACCAGTATTCATAGGGATTCATCCACCCCCTGTCCATTCGCAGTATGAAGCAGAATCACCAATGGCTTTGGAGTCCAGATGTCTGATATGGAACAAGTTGTAGGGCACGGCAGAAACCAAGTTGCGAATCCAACACCGGTGTAGTTCGCTGCTTGTTAACGGTGGCTGTGATACCACGGACTTGAAATTAAGGTAGCCATGGGAATGGTCCATGTTGGTATCACAGAAAGGCTGAGGGACCTGACGTGAGGAGAAGAGACATGAGCTTCGCCCTTACTGGAACCCTCGAAGCACTGTAGCGAACCGGGGCAGAGGTGCATATATGAGAGCAAACACATCAAAGCAGCCGGATGTCCCACTTTGGGGGCCATTCTTTTTGAAGGATTTGTCACTTTTGTTTAGGACTTTTGTTGTGTGTTTTCAGGGTGGGTGGCTTTCTGGCTTTGGCTTTTCGCATCCCCTGCTTTCCCAGCTAGTTTTTGGCCTTGGCTTCCTGGTGCCCCCCGCCACCCCCCTTTCGATTGAGATGCACCCCTGATTGAATCATCACTTTTTCGATCATCATGGGGCTGTGCGAACATCATGGGGGGCACCCCAACCCCCTCGCTATACAGTCTAGATTTTCTAATTGAAGCACCACGTTTTTTCGATCATCATGGGTAAGGCTGCCGCTCCCCCCCAACCCCCTTGCTATACTTTTTAGATTTTCTTGAAGAGATTAGATGCAAGCCTAATTGAATCATCACGATCATGTGGGGGGCTGCCACCCCCTTTTGCAGGGATTAACTTGCACCCGTATTTGAACCCTCACCTGTACCATCACGAGGGGGACCCCCCCGCTGCTTTTTACCTGCATACATAAATACCTACCTGCCTTGCTGGAGAGGAACTGATGATGCTGAGGATGTAGGAAGCCAAGACCCTCGATTTGCTGGTGATGCTGGGGATGTTGGCTGGACATGGGGGATGTAGGTGCAAAATACGTACATTTCGTGAGAACATGCTGTAAAAAACAGCATTTTACTAGCCAGACGAACAAAAATAACAAAAACGACAAAATAAAGCAACAAAAACATCCCAAATTAAATCTCGACCCATGTAAGCACATCAGAGCAGCATGTCCCACTTTGGGCTTCTCGGGTCCAGTAGTCCTGGTGTGCACGTCATGGCTTTGAACTGGGGCTCCCCATTTCTGGCGAAACCATAATGGCTAAACACAAGCACAGGATCCGCTTAAATGATCATGACAAAACTTGGTTTTAAGCCCCCTGCAACAACCATTGAGATGTTTGGGCACATATATCAATTTGCCCAGATGCTTATTAGGGTGGTGAGTTTCATTGTTCGCAATTCGACTATTTTGTTGCAATGCGTCTCGAAGCTCTTTGGCCGGAAACAACTGCACAGTCCAGCGCCGAGGAACATGGCCATTGATCCGGAGACCTTCCGCTTGTACAAGCAGCAGTGCAGTCCCCAGATGGATCAACAGGGGCAGGCTTTGTCTACCGGGTTTGTTCAGCTCCGAGCCATTGAAAGCTGAGGCTAGAAATGTTGGTGCGGTTTCTCTCGGTTTCTGCGCCAGCTCTTTGGAGCAACCCTGTCCTGTCCGGGTACGTAAGGGCTCGAATTGGAGGAAGTCCAAAGTTATATCAGTGTCCACGCCCACATAGCATGTCTCGCCTGAGTTCCTGCGCTTGAAACTTTTGGGGAAGATCACTTTAGCAAACAAAACGTCGGGACTTTTTTGGGCCAGTCCACTCAGGAAGTGAGATGTTCCAGGATACATCCTGGACCTGATTTGTTTGCTTACCCAAACACGTTTGTGCAGAAGTGCCAAGAGGTGTCTTGGAGTTGAGTGTGCACAACGTCTGCCGTAAGCGCAACACCAATGACTCATCATGAGCCCCTGCTTGTCACGTGGCTAGTGCTCGGCTGAGGGTCCCTCTGACTCAGTAGCCTTCCGCTGTAGGCAACAGCGGAAGTGCCAGTGTGAACCTCAGGAACAACGCTCTGATTATGATCACATGGATCAACGCCCCTATTGGGCAAGATCATGACAATAAATCACTCAGACTTTTATATTGGCAAAAAATGCGACTTGAGTTGATGCCAAATTATTCAAGAGTGGTTGTCATCGTCGTTGGTACTATCATAGTGGAATTGCATCCAATGTACAGCAGCACAATTTAATGCAGGCCTTTGTTCCAATAGAGACCTGCTTGAACTTTTAGAAGAGCGCCAAAGGGAGTTGCCCACCATGTGAAGGCGTTCAAGTTTACACACTGGCATAGAACAGATTCAACTCAGTTGTTCGGTGGCACCCTTTTCCCTCCTTTTTTTGGTGGCTGCCCCACTAAAATGGTCTTCCCCAAAAAGGGTTCCCTTTTTTTCACAGGGTCACTGAAGAACAGATTCAATCAAGGATTGCAGGAAGTCGCGGACCAGAATAACGATCCCAAATAAAAGAATCACGGTCCTTCTTGGAATTCCATTTAGAAGGCAGAAGGCGACTGTGTCAAAATTGGGCGCCATGGTTCCCGCTCCCTCAAACTATTATGCGTTGGTTTTGCCGGTTGTTAGGGAAACCCAGTTTTGTTTCCTTTAGGCTTTGCAGGTGCGGCGATAGTCACCTCGCCTTGAAGGTGACAATCCATCTCGAGCGTGGGACATCGGCTTTTCTTGCTATGGCTCTTGGCCATTCATTTATTGTTGAAGCTTCTTGAATGTCCCTGGAGCAGCGACAGTGCGCGTGCCTCTTTGCGGGAACGCGGAAAAGGGTTCTTGGTTGGACATATCCAAAATTTATAGAAGTCTTGCCAACTACGCTTGATTAGTATTGGCGAGGCTTGATCCATACTGGGAAAGGTTTGGGCGAACCACCCTTCAAAGGTAAAAGGAAAAGGCTTTGATGTTGGAATTTCCCACTTTCCATTGAAGGCCCCTGCAGCCGCGAGGTCCTGAATTCGGCAAATCACATCCTACCATAGACGCCCCACGTACGGCAGGCCCAACAGGCAACGAGCCATGCGCCTCCCCACGGCTCATGGCTTTAGTGAGAAACGGCTGAGGGTCCGCTCAGCCAGGCTATGAGTTTTGTGGAGAACCATCCTCGGACAGAGATCCGCATGACCACTGTGGGGTTTCAAATCCCAAACACGACACCCAAGAAGGGTACCTGGACCCTCAAACTACCCATACAAAAGGGACATCACCCCATTTTCTTAGGGCAATACCCCATTTTTTGATGGGAAGTTTGAGGGTCCAGGTCGCCAAAACATGGCGCGCCCCCCCATCTGCGTCACTGGCTGCAGGCAGCTTCCGCCAGGCAACTTTGGTTGCTTTCTGCGGGGCCTGGGGGTACCTGGTCTTGGGGAGGTTCTCAAAGTCCTAGGGGTTGATTCCCCGTTCTTACCATCGTTTGTTCAATCACCAGCCGTTTTCCCTTGGGTTTTTGGATGGTTTTCTAGAAAGAGGGATCCCTGGAAAGAATGGGGAAGCAACCCGTAGAAAAGTGGGTCTGCCATTTTTTGGAGTTGGCAAGTACCTGTTTGTTTGTTTTTTTTCAGGGAAACCAAGCCCGACATGTTGGAGGGGCATCTCAAAAAAAGACACCCAATGGACCCCGTTTGGCTGGTCGGGAAGCCAAAGGCGAAAAGGTCAGAGGGTTTTTCGAGACGTTTCCAGAAGAACGCGAGTCGACGGTCACATGGCAAAGATCCTTTACTTGTGGATCCAATTCTTATTTCAGGTTTTGGAACTATAGTAACCAAATTTGTAAACAATTTAGATGATTGCTGCGAATGATTGAAGGAACAACCCACTCAACATATCTCAAGTCGTTACATTGGCTTACGCCTGGCGAAGAAATTACGGGAAGAACCGTACAGCGACGGTAAATCATGAGTGAACAATCCATTTCTTTTAAACAACCTCCATGGTGAGATGTGCCATGCAAGGGCCGATTTTCACCACGTAAAGCACAGGTCGCCATGTGAGTCCCATGCAAAGCTTGCAACATACATTTCCTGAGGAGCATGCGTTTCTGCCAAAAGCACCGTGCAGCGCACTAAGCATTTGTGCATCGAGGTCTTTGGGCACGTCCGCCTCTTTCCATGTGGCTCTGTGTGTATGTGGTCTTGGGAACAACTCTTGGCTGTCTTTAAGGGAAACCACTTTGACTTTTTATTGGTTTCAACTGAGACCAACATATACCATGGGGGTCCCGCCTTTTTTAAAACAATTGGCACCCCACGTAGGTCCCACGCACTCGAACAGCTTTCAAAACGAAGCGGAAAAACGCGCAGACTGCGACTGTGTGGACGTCGAGGCCTTCGTCTCCTTTTACCAGGCAGGCTGATGGCATCGTTCGAAACGGTTGAGAAGTGTCTGAACACCAAACAGAAACGGGTCCGAGTTTTTTTTGAACTGCTATGGGTTGTTCCTTCATTTGGGAAGGGAAAGAGCTCAAAGGTTTATGGATTGCTTTGAATATTGGAGGTGTTTGTTTGGCGTGGTGTTTTGTTAAGGGGCTTCCTTGCAAGCCACGGTTTGCAAATTGGGCTATGACGGGCCAACATGGGGGTGGCTTGTTTGAGTTGGTATCAAAAGGAAACCAAAAGGAAGACAGAAGCGCTTGGGTCCCCTAAAACAAGACACCCGAATTGTGGTTTGCTATGCGTTTCCGTGCCAACGCCTCAAAAACACATAGAACCCCGAAACCGTACATTTTCCGACTCCCGTTCTAAGCGTTTTGGTTTGCAGGTTAAGAGGAGTACCCCCGACTGAAACCCAGGCGTTCGGATCCGATGAAGCCGAACACTGGGACTAGCCCGGCGGTCAAGTCGAACCTTGCAACAAAGCAATACGTCGTTGACCCCATACTAATCAACCCCAGTTTATAAACTGGGGGGGTTCCGAGCCATCCAAAAGTTGTTTGATTCCCCACAGTTCACCCAACCAAAAAAGCATATTTATACACTGGGGTTGATTAACATGGGGTCAACATTACCAGGAACCAAGAGAAGGTTCCACTTCCTGAAAGCGCAGTGTCCTGTATACTTTTTCTTGGCATTGATTGCAAGAATTCACTTGGGTAGATGTCGGAAACCTGCACGGACGCATTCTCTTCCGTCAGAGTGAAAGTACGTAGAACAGGTCTATCATGTTGGTTTAATCTTTCCACTTCGCTGGAAAGGAAGGCTAATGTCCACCTCTGATTAATAACCCGCCCACCCACCCACCCCCGCCCACCACCCCCCCCCCCCACTTTGCTGAGATTGTAAATACGGGGCCCACTAGGGCCTGTTCAACAATACCATCTACCTTGTACCCCCAGTGAACATCCCAATCCAACCACTAAAATAGGTTCTAAAATGGGTGGTGCACCTACCCTAGAATGGTACCATGAATTTTGACCCACAGCCTCATGACCCTGCCGGACGCATCGTGTTTTTTTTTGGCCAAACCAAAGGAAGGGTACCATCTACCGTCCATGACTCCCTGCCACTGAGGCCGTTTGGGAGAACCAGCCGCCCTCGGTTCGGCGCTTTGCCGGTTGCCCCGAGGCGGGGGAAGTCGGGAAGTCGGGAAGTCGGACGGACGCCGGGGGGTTCGGAAGCTCGGACGGGAATGGCCACGAGGGTTTGGGTGAATGAACCAGCCTTGACAAATATGTTTTTTTTTGTGTGTGTGTGTGTGTTCCTGCTGGTTTTCCTTCAAAACAACAAAGAAGGGGGTGTTTTGGAAAGCAGACGCCCATACCAAGGAGATCACATGGTTTTCATGACATATACGGTTTCATCCGCTGGCCAAACAAGAGGACAGAGATCATATGTTTTTGTTTGTCCGCGCCGACATCGTAGCCAGTGTGTTCTGCTGCGAGCGCGGGTGCCTGTTCTGGTTGACATTCCAACGAGCTTTGCTGACTGCCTGGCAAAGCTCTTGCGCAGTCACATCAGTACTGATGTGTACTGATTGCCCAGTATATCCCAGTCAATGACATTCTTCTTGAGTGTTTCAGCCCTGCAACGGGTTTAGCACGTGCCATGCACTCAAATCGACTTGATTCGCCACTTCATTGTCCTGTTCCCTCGGTTCCCTCTGCCCCGCTTGAAAATGTTGGGCCCAGAATGTGTTGTCACAATTCGACTTGTTGTCCAACAATGTCTTGTTGTGTCCATGAATACTCCTCACTGTCCTTGCACATTCACCCATAGCTCAGACAAGTGTTTAGGTGCACACTGTGGCCCTTTTGAGGAGCTACGGCTCAGACAATGCGGTGCACTCTTTCAGTATCGATGACTAGTCGTTCCCTTTTCGCGGACATGGCTTGGAACTCAGCTCAGGTTCACAATGTCGATCGCTAGCGCTAGGGACGCTCGGTGTAGTATGTGCAATTGGTATTGGTTGTTGTCCGATCGACTAAGTAAGCCCGATTGATTGGTTGCAACTTGAGGAGTTGTTCAATGCATCACTAATGCCCATGTGTTCAATCTCGCAAATCTGCCCGATTCTGAACTATCTCTAAACCATTCAATATTCAGCAGCACTCTTCAACACTAAGTCAATATCAACTCATGCCATGACAGTTCACCATCAATACCGGTCATTACTCATGGTATACTCACCAATATAGAGTCCGTTTTGCTAAGATCGGAGAGCGCTTGTTTTCAGCCAGTGGTAGTTGCCTGATCATATAAAGGTTATTGCATTTCAAATGGCCAGAATCAGAAGTGTTCAGATGCACAGAAGAACGACGGTCGAATTCTTCGCAGGCTCCGCTCGGCGAAGGATCCATATGCATTGCATGCATTTGCCGATTTTTTTGGGGAGCTCACCTGGAAGTAAAACGAGCTCGCCATGATGGTGCTGTGCTTGGGAATCCCTTCAGGCCTTGGAATGATTTTACTTGCTGGTGCTCATCTTGGAATGAGAAATGGAATGGCCCTTAATAAACCATCCAAGTGGTGGTTTCTTCCCATCGCTGACACGTCAGCAACTCCTGGGTTCATTCCCTCATTCCCCGATCGCCAGCAAGTCCATGCATCGCTCACGGCACGTCAGTCACAGGCCGGCGCGGTGGCCGGAGCGCCGGAACCTCGGGAGGCCAGGGATCGACATGACGACTCTGGCTCAAATGTATAGAAGCCGGCTTGGGTGCGATTTTTTCGCGGATTTTCCCTGTTCTTCCCCCTGCTGGTCCGTTGTTAGTACTCTTGTAGTACTCTTTTAACATCAAGCGGTGCAAAGAGGTTTCTAGAGTGTAGGTGACTACCCCCCCCCCGGTGATGTTGAAAGGGGAATACGCTAGTGGCAGGGGTAAAGAATTGCACAGATAGTCTTTTTTGACCATACTTATTTGCTTTGAAGTGCCCCACAACGCCGTTCTTATACTCAGGCTCTCATACATGTAGCACCCATAGGACAATTCATGTTGGTGGGAGACGGCCACCAGAAGTAGACACGGCTCTCAGTTCTTTCAATTTCTGAAGTCGCTTCAGAATTATTTGAGACCTGGTGTTGCTCGTGATTTGAAGTTCCTGCATTGTAGCTCCATGTTCTGGGAAGCACCCATTGCATGCACCGGTGGGCATAGTGTGCCTTCGCGTGCGCAGGTCTGTCAGTTAGATGGTCAATTCGATGTCCAGTCACACCTGCTGCCAGGCGAATGGACACGCATCACATGGAAGCTTAAGGGGTGTGTTGAGCCATGGCGGTTGCACTTATCACGATATAAGCGGAAGACCTTTTGTCCCGTACTTCGGAGAGTCGCTGAGCCGCAGACTTTCTCACGGCCCCAAAGCTGATGGCAACCATGCTAGACGTAAAGCTTGAACGGGTGGCAGGATGAGAGACATAGGTTGCTCGGTCATATCCATTTGCGCACTTAGGTATGCAGACATGAATGCACACATACAACGTTTAGGATACATATGATATATTGCTTTTACTTGTATTTGTGACCACGTGCGCGAAGCTCACAACGTGGTTCGCCAACGGCAGATCGTCAGCGAAGCTAATGCTGCAGGAGAAGTTTCGGTGCCTGCGAACCATACCCCGAATCATACCCGGAAATCATACCTCGAATCCTACCCGGAAATCATACGCCCCATCCAAACTTCCCGGTCCCAGCACCTTGTTTATGGCACAGACCCATGTAACAGACATACAGACATAGAAACATAGAGAGAGTCAGACAGGCTGGCAGGCAGGCAGGCAGTTGGTCAGACGACAGACATGCATACATGCGTTTACATATGTATACACAGACACGGAGGCATGCATACATACATGCATGCATACATAAATACCTACCTGCCTGCCTGCCTACCTGCCTTCCTACCTACCCACCTATGTAGACACAACAATGCATGGGCACAGATACACACATGCGCACATACGCACAAGTACACAGACACACAAACACATACACACACACACAAGCACACATACACACATAGACGCACATGGACGGACGGACGGACGGATGGACGGACGTACATGAAGTACGAACGCTCTGAGTGCACAATTGGTTGCAACAGGTATATGATAACCATGCGCCACACCCGCAGGGTAGAGATTGAACTGTATGAATGAGTATACAACAACATTATCATAGGGTCCAGTTGCTCTGCAACTTGGGGGGGCGGACTAAAAAGCCGCATATGTCCAGCGTGTCCAGCCCACCAAGGCCGCATGTCTCGCCAAAGGGGAAGCCAGGTCCTGAGCTGCTCGCAGGGAGGGCCTTGTTGGGTTCCCCCATGACTCGGCGTTCTCTTGCTTCTCCCGAACGCCATTGCTGTGTTTCTGAAGGGAAGCCAGAGGGACACCCCACCTGGACGTTGTCTTTTCGAGGTATGGAGTTCCAGCTGCGGTGGCAAACAAGATTCGTCGGGTGAAGCCCAATCAAGCTGGTATGGCTCGTCAAAACCGGGGTACCCTGCAGTAAAAGGGTGTCCTTTTGGTTTCCTTTAAACCAACCCGTACCCTAAAAAGCGCAGACTCAAACGATCAGCCAAACAAGCAACTCGTCCTTGTCTTCCCCTCAGCAACTAGATGTCTGTTTTGTTTTGCAGCCGTCCCCGTTCCAGTCCCCTTATGCCCACGGCCATATGTGTACAAACACATCGTGCACACTCGATGCATTTCCGTTCCTCGATGTCCGTAACAAGCATTCGCCTTCTGCTGGTTTCTGGAAGGTTTGGGGATGTTCACCCATTCAACATTTACATCCTTCCTGCTCTTCTTTCGCAGCGTCTTCACCAAGAGCGCCTTCACAATGTCTCGGCAGTGTCACTGCATTGGGAAACATGCCAAAATTAATCAGCCAACAAAGCCAATGGGTTGTTTTATGTTGGCTAGCTTTTTGAGTTGCACACGATTTCGAGTTTCTGATGGTGGAGCCCAACAGGATTTCACCCTATTTCACTCCATTGAATAGCCAGTCGCGCGTGCATGGGTCCCACAGGCATGGATGGCCTCTAAAGGTACTAAGCCTGCGGGTAGGCTCCTAGAGCTGTTTCACATGCTAAACTGCGTGCTCAGGGATCTAGATCCCATTGTTCTCAAACCACTTCTTCAAAATGAGGGAAACATTTCCTGGGATTTCATTCAGACTGGATTTTCCTTTTTGGGTGTCCCCGCCCTCAGGTCCCCGTTGGCTCCGTACTGAACGGACCCCATGGCTCTTGCCTAAGGCGCTTGCCGCGGGGAAGCCAAGTGCCCGGCGTCACTCCTGGAGTTCCGTTTCGGACTTTCAACTGTTTGGGTTTTGGGACCATGTGGGTGGCAAATGACAAGTTTGGACTGTTTCTTGAAATTCACTCAGGAAGTGAGGAGAGACAAGCCCTACCACATTTAAGCTCACTCGGGTCCGGTGTTCTATGGAGCAAGTCTTTGTTTCGCAAAGCCTAATCGTCGGCAAGTACAGTAGTGGTATAATCAAAGGAAGTTTAACAAGAAACTTCCGTAGTACTGGAACTAAATGAGCTAGCTGCTTTGACATATAGCTATGACAGGTAGCTAGCATGACAAATAGATAGCTTTGACATATAGCTAGCTTGACAGATAGATAGCTTTGACATATAGCTAGCTTGACAGATAGATAGCTTTCCAATAGGCTTGCATGACAAATAGATAGCTTTGACATATAGCTAGCTTGACAGATAGATAGCTTTCCAATAGGCTTGCATGACAGATAGATAGCTTTGACATATAGCTAGCTTGACAGATAGATAGCTTTCCAATAGGCTTGCATGACAGATAGATAGCTTTGACATATAGCCAGCTTAACACGTAGATAGCTTTCTCAAGTATAGATTTCGTGGCAGGCGCAGCACTTTCGCAAGCACTGTCTGCGAGCTGGGGGATGGCAAGATGCAGAAAACGTTGGCGCTGTGCGTGAATTGGGCTTCCGGACTGTGCGCAAACCACCTCGGCTGCGACGCCTGTACGGAGGCGGTCTCGGAACGGTCTCGGAACGGTCTCGGAACGGTCTCGGAACGGTCTCGGAGACGGGCCCATTGGCACGGCCGCGCGAAGGTTTCGCAAGGTTTGAATTGCGTGGCAGGCGCAGCACTTTCGCAAGGTCAAGTATAGATTTCGTGGCAGGCGCAGCACTTTCGCAAGGTCAAGTATAGATTTCGTGGCAGGCGCAGCACTTTCGCAAGGTCAAGTATAGATTTCGTGGCAGGCGCAGCACTTTCGCAAAGGATGCTGCGTGCCACTCTCTGCGAGCTGGGGGATGGCAAGATGCAGAAAACGTTGGCGCTGTGCGTGAATTGGGCTTCCGGACTGTGCGCAAACCACCTCGGCTGCGACGCCTGTACGGAGGCGGTCTCGGAACGGTCTCGGAACGGTCTCGGAACGGGTTCGGAACGGTCTCGGAGACGGGCCCATTGGCACGGCCGCGCGAAGGTTTCGCAAGGTTTGAATTGCGTGGCAGGCGCAGCACTTTCGCAAGGTCAAGTATAGATTTCGTGGCAGGCGCAGCACTTTCGCAAGGTCAAGTATCGATTTCGTGGCAGGCGCAGCACTTTCGCAAGGTCAAGTACAAAATTCGTGGCAGGCGCATCACTTTCGCAAGGTCAAGTACAGAATTTGTGGCAGGTGCAGCACTTTCGCAAGGTCAAGTGCAAAATTCGTGGCACGCGCAGCACTTTCGCAAGGTCAAGTACAGATTTTGTGGCAGGCGCAGCACTTTAGCAAGGTCAAGCACAGATTTGGTGGCAGGCGCAGCATTTTTGCAAGGTCAACTTTCGCAGCCGGGGCTCGAAAATCGCAACTTTTAAGTACGAAAGTAGTACGCGAAGTCAACTTTCGCAGCTGGGGCTTGAAAATCGCAACTTTTAAGTACGAAAGTAGTGCGCAAAGTCCACTTTTGCAGCCGGGGCTTGAAAATCGTAACTTTTAAGTACGAAAGTAGTACGCGAAGTCAACTTTCGGGGATTGAACATCGCAACTTTTAAGTGCAGAGAAAGATGGACTGATAGATAGATCAATAAACAGATATAGAGATAGCTAGAGAAATAGATAGAAAGAGATAGAGAAACAGAGATAGACAGAGATAGATAGATTTGTAGATAGATAGACAAATAACTAGCTAGATAGATAAAGAGATAGAGAGATAAATAAATAGAGAGGTAGATAGATAGATAGGAGATAGAGAGGTAGATAGATAGGTAGATCTATAGATAAATCGCAACTTTTAAGTACGAAAGTAGTACGCGAAGTCAACTTTCGCAGCTGGGGCTTGAAAATCGCAACTTTTAAGTACGAAAGTAGTGCGCAAAGTCCACTTTCGCAGCCGGGGCTTGAAAATCGCAACTTTTAAGTACGAAAGTAGTACGCAAAGTCCACTTTCGCAGCTGGGGCTCGAAAATCGCGACTTTTTAGTACGAAAGTAGTACGCGAAGTCCACTTTCGTAGCTGGGGCTCGAAAATCGCAACTTTTAACTACGAAAGTAGTACGTGAAGTCCAGTTTCGCAGCTGGGGCTCGAAAATCGCAACTTTTAAGTACGAAAGTAGTACGCGAAGTCAACTTTCGGGGATTGAACATCGCAACTTTTAAGTGCAGAGAAAGATGGGTAGATAGATAGATCAATAAACAGATATAGAGATAGCTAGAGAGATAGATAGAAAGAGAGAGAAAGAGACAGAGAAACAGAAAGAGAAAGAGAAAGAGAAAGAGAGAAAGAGAGAAAAGAGACAGAGAGAGAGAGAAGCAAGGGGCCAAGGACAGTTCTCCAAACTATAGTTGTTCACTGCTTTGAAACTTCCGCCCCCCGGCTCTGCCGGACCTTACTTGTATAGTAGTAGAGTAGACCATATTGTGGAAGTGAGTCGGAAACTGTCATTTTCTGTGTACCCCAGATGTTGGCCAAGCTTTATGCATGAAGTGTGCTGTAACATCGGGCCTTGTCTTCCTCAAGTTTTCTTGTACCGACAACTGACGACGTGCGAGCGAGTTCTGACACATTCCGCCTCTGCTGCAGGGCCGTGTTTGCTCGAACCAAAACTCGTGTCTAGACACAGATTGAATGCGGCGCGCTGTATTGTTTATGACAGATTGAAGCAGCATAGGGAAATGTGACAAGATGCGGGCCAAGATTCGCTTCGGACTATAGATTGACCCATTGCTGGGGGGGGGAACTCCTGGTTTACAAGGAAGCACAAACTGTTTTGAGCTGGAGACAAGCCCATGGTGTAATGCCTTGCTGGAAAAAACACATCTCTGTTTGGCTGCTTGATTTGAGAGAGTGTTTCACGAGGGGTAAACCGACTGCCCAAAAATCGCTGCATCGTTGCGGCCAGCCACCAGCGGAGAATCTGAAAGAAATGCGTTTCTAAAGGACAATGAAACATACACTTGACAGTTCTTGTTTGTTGTTTTCTTGTTTTGTTGCATTGTTAAAGAACTTTGTAGCACATGTATATACTATAAAAGACAGCTACAAAGTTCTTACGCTTGCGCGGATGTTTTCTGCTCTGTGGGCAACCTGAGTGTCAACCTCGAGTTGCTTAACTTGTGTTTCCATCCATTCAGGTGAAATGCGCAAATGGGGAAAAACCGAGTCCACGGGAGGTGCTGCGGTCTGCCCTTTTCCTCTTGGGAGCCAAGGAAAACCAGCCTTTGTTCATTTCTTGGTTCCCCCATCAAAAAAGCTGGCACCCGCCAAAAGGGGGTGAGTGAAGACAGCAAACAATGACCTTGTTGGGGCATGAAAGCGGAGCCAAGGTCAAGTGTGTTTCGCGGCTTCCATGCCCTCAAAAAGGGATGGCTCGTGGAAAATACACGGTTGCCATTTTCCGAAGTCCATTCCATAGACGCAATCAATGTGGGAGGTTTGAGGATTTCTGTGTTCAAGCCAGTGGTTGCATAGGCCCTCATACATTGGAGGATTTCATATTTTGAGGGGGGGGGTTTGCCCCTTTTTAGGTATGGTTACAGGTCGCCGAAAAGGAATCGCCATTTTGGGAGCCCAAATCCCTTCACAGCTCCAGGACTTTGGTGCTGCCCTGCCAAAATCTGCTGCGCGAAGCGGCGGACAACGAGGCGGCCCGATCGCTCGAGCGAGTTCGTCGGCTCTGTCGGGGAAAGCTCCGATCGAAAGGCTGTGAGTCTGGTAAAGCCGGCGATGCTTCGAGCGGTCGGACGTTTCGAAAACCAAGTACTCACTACAGGGGTGCTTGCTTCTGCTTTGAGCCCACTCGGCCTCATTGAAATGGCCATGGAAACTTGATGCTAGTTTGTCGCACTTGAGCTGACTGAATATCTGTTGAGCCATCTATTTGTCAAGCGAAAAAAGCTACCTGTCGAGGTCTCTGACTCAAGCTTTTTGTCCGGCTATCTATCTGCAAGGCCAGCTATCTGTTCAGCTATCTATTTGTCGAGCTACCAGCTATGTGTCGAGCTATCTATCTGTCAAGCAATCTAGTTGAACTACATGTCTATCCAGCTTTTCTTTTTGTTGGGCTGTCTAAGCTGTTTGCCTGTTAAGCTATGTATTTGTCTCGCTATTGTGCCGTCCAGCTATCTGCTTGTCGAGCTAGCTATCTGTCAAGCTAGCTATTTGTCGAGCTATCTATCTGTCAATATATTTATTTGTCAAGTTCTCTATCTGTCAGTCTTTCTTGCTGTTGAGCCCACTATTTGTCCAGCTATCTATCTGTCAAGCTATCTTATCTGTCTTATTTGTCCATCTAGCCATCTGTCAAGCTATCATCTGTTGGGCTGTGGTTTGTCAAGCTATCTATTTGTCCAGCTAGCTATTTGTCAAGCTGTCTATCTTTTAGGCTATCTATTGTTATTTGTCCAACCAACCATTTGTCCAGCTATCGCAAAACCAGGCGTCGCACCAGAGGTGGTCTGCCCTTTCTTTTCTATTTAACTAGCTACATGCTTTTTTCCGGAGCAGGCAAGCAGGCAATCGGGCGTAGCCACGGTGGACCCCCGCGTTTTGGCACTAAGACTTCTGATCACAAACGACACTGTCCGCTTCAAGTTGACAGTAACAACTGCCACTGCAACGAAGCATCCAATCCGTTTTGAAGTTCAAGTGAACAGTAACATCACAACTGCACCGTGGCGTCCAATCCGTTCTCAGGTGTAAGTGAACGGCAACATCCCACCCACCCCAACCCCACCCCACCCCGTCTACATCGAAGCTTCCAATCCGTGTTCAAATTCAAGTCAACGGCAACATCACAAACGCCACCGTACTGCAGCACCCACCCGGTGATGTGCATATCTTCTTCATAAAGATCAGGTGGGGTTCGGGAGGGCTGGGGCGGGATGTTGCCGTTCACTTGAACTTGAATACGGATTGGAAGTGCAAACCAAGGAAAAACAACAAAATTGAAAAGTCTGTGTGCCTACACGCGCGGCTTTCGGCCCGGCGGCATAAACAACCAGACAGGAGAAGGACACCAGACAAACACATCTCAAACAAAACTAGCACTTGCTTAGGAGCAAAACACACACCCAGATACAACAATTTCAAGCAGCCAGACTGAACAAGATGTAGCCGTTTACACTAGGTCTGTCGCATTCACTCGCACCAGCCTTTCCACTGTTTGATCCATATGACCGCACTTTCATCCACAATGTGGCCTTCCTCACTTCCCTACGTCCACTTCAAACTTTTTGGACTTGGACCATTTTGGTAGCAAACAAACGGATGTTCTTGGGCCAATCCACTCGGGAAGTGAGCTTCGAGATGCGCAAAGGAGGTGTAATTACTGAATACTCTGCTGGTTGGTGTTTTACATACATTGATGGATACTATTGCCTTAGTTGATGCATATGTGTGTGTGTGTGCGTGTTTATGAGATGGGGTAACGTGTTATTTTGGTGGAACATCTTCCACGACTTTTTCTTCCACTGGTTCGCAAGTTCTCAGGCGCCCTGCGCAGCTGTCAGTTGCCGGAGCATGAATCCGCAGGCTGTGGGCCCAAAGGTCTCAGCGTGTTGTGATAAATCCATGGCATGTTGCCGTGCAAGTCCAACCGGGCATGCAAGATCCTCCATAACTCGGATGGATGACGTGCTAGTCATGCATTTTCCTATGTATACCGTGCCTCTAGAGACACTGCTTGCAATGACCAGGGTGGAACCCCATGAAGAGCTGAAGGCTAGGAATGCGCTGGCGGAGTTCCAAAGTGGCATGGGCAAGGCAGCATTCGTTTCACACCAGTGGGTTGCCACTGATCACCCCGATCCAGAATGCAAGCAGCTGAGAGTCTTGCAGCAGTCTCTGAAGCGAATCATGGGTAAAATGCGATTCATCCCCTTGGACGCGGCTTCTGAGGTTTTGAATTCCAATGCCAAACCTTTGGCAACATCCAAACTTCTTGCAGAACCCTTATTTTTCTGGTATGATTACTTCTCCTGCCCACAAAAAGGACGACAATTGCAAGACGCCGTCAGCAGCATCCACGCATATGTGGATCAGTGCAGTTTTTTTTTTGCGCTCGTCCCGGTCTTGCAGAACTTGGACAGCACGGATTTGCTCACGCAAAAGAGCTGGCACAGTAGGGGGTGGTGCCGGCTAGAGAGAACTTGCCGAGAACTCTCCGAAGAACAGTCTTGGATCATGGTGAAGAGCCCTGGAGAAATTGAGCTTATAGCGTCTGCAACGGCCTCCATGCGAGCCGGCTCTGGCCCAGTGGCTGAAGGCAATTTCACCGTGCCGGAGGATAGCCTGCGGCTTGGACCAGTGCTCAGGACAGCGGTCAGGCGGAAGATGCGAAGCCTCCTCAAAGACCAGGATTGGCCGGGGTTTCGAGCTTTGCTCAACCAGCAAGCCGTGATGCTCCGAGGGTATGATTGCGATGTCTTTGTTCCGGAGATGCCTGAAGAAGACCAAAGCGATCACGTTCCACGTGTGATGAAGTTCTTTCACCAGAATCGTTTTCGCAGCATCCGGGAGACTGACCGCTGTGGATGGTTGCCGCTTCATTATGCTGCCCTGAATGGGGATGCATCACTCGTTCACGACTTGCTGGCACTTCAGTCTGATCCGAATCAGGGCACCAAAAGGTTTCACAAAGACCTTGGAATTGAACAAGGGGCGTCATCTCTTGTCATTTCGTGTACCTTCAAGAATAATGACGTTGTCCGGGTACTGATCGCGGCCAAAGCCAGAGTCAACTGCAGTACCTTTGCATCGCAGCCCCTCGACATGGCAGCGGTTGCGAACAACCACGAAGCTGTCCAGTTGCTTTGCAGTGCCGGCTGCAGCCTATTGCAACGAAATGTCTTTGGTTTGCTTGCGATCCAAAATGCTGCCGCCTACTCCGCTGTGGAAGTCGTTGACATGCTTGTTGAACAAGGCTGTGTAACAGCCCTGGATCTCAATAGAGCTCTGCACGCGGCTTGTGACGCCAAAGTGGTGCGGCGACTGGTTGAACTGAGAGCAGATGTCAATACTCGAGACCAGTGCTTGAGTTTGACCCCCATTTCGAAAGTCTTTGTCACAGCAAAGACTTTGCAACACCGGTTCAAAGTCACACAACTCACCAAGATGATGTACCACGGTCACGGTGCCTCTCCCTTGATCACAGCTTTGCTGCTGGGGCAGTACGAGGCTGCTGCGGCTTTGATCGCTGAAGGAGCCCGGCTCCATACGCCGAACTCGCGGGGAATGACTGCAGCAGATTTCATCGCAGGGAACCCTGTCCCAGAGTTTCTTAAGGAAGCTCTCGACGGAAAGCTGGAGGCATGTCAGAGGGTGTCATTGCTGGCACGTGGCTGGGTGGAGTTGCGCTTTTGATACGCTTCGATGCAGGTTGCAGGCCGTTTTATTATTGTTATATTTTGAAGTTGGCGCCCTCAAGGGGCCATGTCCAGCATATATCTTGCGGTGCAGGTTCATTGCTGGTTGCCATGACGGAATTGGCGCAAATTCGTCATTCACGTCTCATGACCGGGACTTCAGGTGCAGGAAGAAGATTTGGTCGTGCGCAAGTCCAGGCATTTCATCAAAGGCCTGAGTTGAAGAAGGGTTCCAACTGCAGCAGTTGGACTTGCGATCGTTTGTTCTTTGCTATTGTTTTTTGATCCCCAGCTTTTGACAACAGGATTGCACATGTTTCAACCAGGTTTGTCAATGTTCGGTCCCGACGGGCCCGACCTTTGTGCTGCCTCGACGTTTGGTAACATCCAAAATCCTAGATGCTTGCCCTTGACTAAAATGATGACCGCAGCCAGCATCTTGTGAAGGGAGCTGTTTTTCACGGAGGGTCTTGTTGCCTGAATCTTTGTGCACCCAGTTGTTTTATTTTGAAATGAGGTCCCCCTCATGTCATCCTAGGTTTAGGGTTGAACGTGTTCAAGTCAGGCAGGATGTGACAATGGTTTTCACTGTGGCCATTGCATCTTGGAAGCCTGGAAGGTGCGAAATATGGGCGGAAACCCCATGCGGATCGTTCCTGAAGCGGCCAGGGTTTCCTTTTGTCCCATTAGCCAAACGAAAGGGGTCCCAATCCCAGTTTGAGAACCCCAATGCCCACAGCATGGTGATGTTTTTTTCAAGTAGAGAGCAATCAGCAAACATGACTGGAAAACGCTGGCAGCGTTGCAAAGGAATAGATCTCTGTGGCAGACTATGCGCAACGCAATGTTGGGAAACTAGTTAAGAGCAATTTGACACGTTTTGGGTACCACGTTCCACAGGTGAGGACATGTGCAACCTGGGCGGTTTCACGCAATCCAATCGGGTTTTGATGGTTTGCGAAGCCTAGGACCAGCTTCGCGCTGCCTTCTACAGGCTCGGCAAACTGAACGTTGCTTCATCGAGGTTTGGTCGTTAAAGGCTTTCTTATTTGTAAGGATGTTCATGGACGGGATTCCAGACAACCATAAAGAGTTTGCACATGGCACATGGGAGGTTTTCTCAAAGAATCTAGCAGTCTATGTGACGTGAAGGGATATGGGCAACGCACTAGTTGCTTCACGATCTAGGAGGCTCACGCAATCTTGCCGCATTTCCTCCGGAGAGGCCCCGGATGAAATCTACACTCCACTTGGTTTTGGCGACGAAGTCAAACATACCAGAGTGCGGATGAGTCGAGCCTGTTTATTAATGATTTCTGACGAAGCAACTTTGACGCCGAGGTACACCAAAGGCAACCTCTACCTCAGTCGCCGAGCGCTCAGCGTTTTTTTGTCGGGCTGCAGAGGGAGGCAGGCCTATGAGGTGACGACAGCCAGTCGGGTGATGCGCGAATCGAAGCTGAATCCGACTTGGTCAACTTGGCCCAAAAGGGTTCCTGGACCCTCCAACTGCTACATAAAGGACTTTCACCCCCCCAAATCTTGGCAATAACCCATTTAAGTTGTGAATTGTGAGGGTCCAGGTTCATCAAATCTGTGACCTTGGAGTCAACTTGCGTGAACATATGGTGAACATATGGCACTCAGGAAGCCAGATGCCGGCAGTGCTGAAGGAGCGGCCGATGGCCATATGGGGCTTGATCACAGGGTCCGTGATACATGGGACCATTGGTAAACCGCTAAACGATTTGATACTGTGGTTGCGAAATCCGCTCGGATAAGCACCACCGTTCAGAAACCGCGGTTTTCTGAGGATTCCCCAACGTAAATACCAACAAACAATGGCTAACTTCAACCATGGCTTCTTAGGTGGTGCAGGACTTCGTCCATCCACAGTATTTCCCACATAAAAACAAGTTACCCATGGCCATTTGGGGGCCCCAGGCCCCAAATTTAATATTGATCAACCCCCATTTCCGCGGTTGTACAGCGCGCATGCGCGCATGCCGAACCCGGAAGGGCAAAACTGAATGTGTTTGGATCGATGGTTTCGGGATTCGATCCCGTTCTTGTGGAGGGCACATGGGAAGCTGCCCCCTGAACCTCCAAACCGCCAACCCACATTTGAGGCAAGCTGAGAGCTTGAACATGTCCTGGACCCCACAGGCATTTTGGCTGGCTGACTGGGGACTCCTGCCGATCAGATGCCTAATACCTGGTGACACTTGACAGGTTGTCTACACACCGAACTCGAAGCAACACACCAAACATGTGAGTTCTTGTGTGGAAACCTTGTCAACTCAGAAGGTAGTTTCGAAAGACGGGATTCCGTCTGAAACTTGTTTAAGAACCCCAAAGGAGGAAAAAATCACAAAACAACTGGGGGGCTCCATTTTTGAGTTGCAAACACATGAATTTCTTGCAGGGATCCCCGGGGGTAGCGCTCGTTTAACCGTTGAAGCCGTCCGATTTCGCTTCGGCGTCCGCTTCGGAGGATTTGGGCATCACCGTGCCAGAGGCCAGTGCCCCACAGCTGGACCTGGAGTTCTTCCAAACGCTTCTTGGCCCAAGCCTCCGGAAACTTCCAGGAGGGTTGAGGTTCAGTATCCTTTGGGTTGCAGGACATTCTACAGGAAGACTGCTTATTTAGGGTGCTTTGGGGCCATTTCCTGTAGATTGTCCCTAGAGGGGCTGATTCCTTTTCCGAATTCTTTTCAACCATTCTTTTCAAAAACCGGATCTGTTTCCCCTGGGAATCTGATGGTTTTCTGGACAGGATCCCTGGAAAGAATGGGGAAGTGTCCCCTAGAAAACTCTGCTGCCCAGTGGATTCCGCCCCTGTTTTCCGATTTTTTTGGGGGGGATCCGCTTGCAACTCAAGCAACCAACAAACGAAGGCCACTTTGTTTCCCCATGGACATCCACTGGGCCGGAAAGACGCAAACTCCGTGGATTTTTAGTGAGGTGCAGGGCTCCGAGTCTTTTCTTGAGCCTTGCAGCATGGGGTCAAATTGCGGGGGATGTTAAGTAGGGCTACCACTGGGTGTCCTTCTTGTTGAATCATGGGGTGAAACGACTCCTTTTGGCCCTAGAACAATCGCAAAGCCCAGGGACAGGCCCCACCAAACACAGGCGCGGAATTCCCTTCTGCGTCCTTGCTTGGTTTTGACTATGACTCTACTCGCATCATTTTCTAGTTTCCCTTGCCGCTTTGTGCGCTGTAACTTTGGTATAGTTTGGTATCCTTCATTTTTCCTCTACGAGCAACGTGTCTTTTGTTTGCAAGCACCCCGTTCGCCCTTGTTGCTCTCTGGGGGCGTCCTTCGTTTTCACCAACGAGGGGTTTAGCGAGAATGGGCAGCACGTTAGAACCAACGATGCAATTATGATAAGGCATGTCACATGTGCAATTATTTAGCTCATGTTACTTGATTATTTAATGTAGAGGTCGGCAAGTTGTTTGTTTGTTTGTTTGGTTTGTTTGTGTGTTTGCTTGCTTACTTGCTCGCTCGCTCGCTTGCTTGCTTGCTCGCACGCGGAATCATCATAAGCAACTGATTGTCGAAAGACATCAGAAGACTTGAAGAAATGATACCTTCGGAATTACTTCCGCCAGTGTGAAACTGGATGGCCCAGAAGCACGCAGAGCAAGGAAGGGGCCTTGTGGTGTCCTTTCCGGTTCAGGTTGCCTTTTTGGAGATCAGCACTCCCCATATCTCCCCTTCACATTGCCCTTTGAGGCAGGGAGTTCCCTTCAGTCCACCGAGCGGGACACATTGCAAAGACCCCAGGCACCTGACGCATTCTCACCTGACCTACCGAAGCCAGGTCCCAGCCAGGTCAGCGAACATGTTTAGAAGGCCCATGGCACACGCATGCAGCGTACTCGTAGCTTAGGTCTGGGGTCTCTCCTCCAAAAGTAAAGCAGAGCTTAGGATAGAGGGGAAATCTGAAACATGATCCGAACGATGTTCTGTTCTGCTTGAGACGGAAGCACTTCGTTTGTTTGGAGGGCTTTTGACCATAGGTCACGGTTTATGACTCGAGAAAGCAGACGCAATCCAGCAGATGTCAACAAGATGTGCTGGAATGTGCTGGATAATCTTGTTCGGTCAGGAAAGTTCAGATATCATATGTCGACATCTTTGGACTTGGCCATTCCAAGCTGACTGATTTGGCATCCCAGTAGTGGGACTTATTTTTTGCTTGTTGAGTCTGGAGTCTGGAGGTTCTGTGATCACGAGTTTGACAATGCCGACGAGAACAAGGATGGAAAGGCACGCTGGTAAGTTGCTTCGCCGAACTGACTGGCGTTAGGCACTGATTGCTCCGCTCCTCTAGGAGTCTCTACTGCTTGGGGTAACAACTCGTAAATAATTTAATGAGCATCGTAGACGTGAGCGCATGGTGGTGTCCTTGTGCAAGGCAGCACCGACTGCATGTCAAAACTAGGACCTGTCCAGAGGCGACGTTCAAGGGGCATCCAGTTTCGAGGAGGGGGACTCTTTGCACACATTACGTACCTCATGAAGCTCAACCTCGAGTCAACTTGTACCTCTCATTTGGATGCGGATGCTGCGGCAGGTGTCGTTCCAGGAGTGCATAGCGTACCAGAATCGCTACCTCTCCATGATGCAGGCTCCGGTTTTGGCACATGTCACTTGCAAGCTATATGTACAAAGCAGTGGTAAGCCTGAATTCCCCAGTTCCCATTGCTATGAACGTCCGGGTGTTGTTTGGGCAGCAGTACCAGACTGGCCGAAAGCGCCTGCTTGAGCTGGCGCGGCATACAATGTTGCACAATACGGATGTGTCATCATGTCATTACCCTCGCAAGGTGTAAGCCACATGGATACCAAGTAACTAGAAGCCGATCGATTATTTCTCACTCTTAGCAAGAAATGTCGGCAAAACTCCAACAACCATTCCCTAATTACGAGGGTCCACTCTTTTTTTGTTGTGGGGTCATTCCCAGCTTCCGTACTGCGCTGCGGCATTTGGAGAGCCGCGTTTGACCAGCCGTGGAGCCTGAGGCAACTTCCCTGGGTATCGTGAGGTCCTTCAGGCGGGGCAGTGCTCCCATGGGCTCCTCGACTATTCCTCCAAACGGGGTGGTTTTAGGTTTTTTGCCTCCAGGTGCATAGTTCGAGTGATGTTTTCTTTTGGGATGGTTTGAAGGATGCGCTGCATGCAAACAGATGTAAAGTCTCGTCCTGATGGTGTCTTGAAGTTCACGAGTGATAAAGTTAATGGTTGATCATGTTGTTTGTTTGTTTGTTTGCTTGCTTGCTTGCTTGCTTGCTTGCTTGTTTGTTTGTTTGTTTGTTTGTTTGTTTGTTTGTGTTTGCTTGTTTTCCCCCGACCTGGACAACCTGGAGAAGCTCGTATGCCCGAGACTGGAGGATGGTTCGAAAGGTTGAGCTAAGCAGAAGAGGCCTTTGCTTCAATGGTTGCGGCACCCGAATTGGTTCTCGTTGTCCAAAGGGCCAGTCGCCAATCATCGAACCATGTTTGTCGTTTAGACTACCTGGACAAGGATTCCTATCTAGCAACAAGTGTCACTTGGGGGTCAGTTGGGGGGGTGAAGTGGACCCGCACCATTTCTGGCAAGCAGGACACTCGTCAGGACCGTTTCAACGCCCGGCTTGGCGCAAACCAGAAGTTGTTAAACAGAAGCAGCAACACGGTTGCATGCCAAACCAATGTTTCACACGGCAAGTGGCATGCCTAACCGGGACACCTCGTTGCTTTCCCCGGTTCTGTGGAAGCCTTGGCACCCTGAAAGTCCGGTTTTGTTTGGTAGGTTTCTTCGCAGGTCTGTCCCAAAACAAATGGCTCCCATGTTGCTACCACTGGGCACAGCCCGGACAAAAGTCTCAGACTTAACTCGCTCGAGTGTCTGAAGTCTATGTTTGAGCCCGTTTTGATGGTAAACACAAAGCTTAGATGTTTGTTGGCTAACTCACCTGCACGTTCCCTTGCAACTAGCAACTTGTAGATTTCTTCATGGGGCAGAAAGGACAGCAAGGGAGGGCGAGAAAAAGATCAACACGAGATAGGAGTACCGAGCAAGCAGAAGGCTCCCACAAAAACGAGGGGGGAACGTCCTTTTCGTAAGTCTTGGGGCAACCTGCGTATTTTTGATCGTGGCTAAAGGGACCCGACGGGAGATCATGGCAGCCGCAAGCTCTAAGGTGCTTGTCACACTGATTGCGGCTGTCTTACTCACACAAACACAGTGCAGAATCCGTGTATGTGGGTTTGGATGAGCACCATTGAGCAGCAACTGCGCGTCACCTATTACACTCATTGGATGCCCACTCTTTTGAAATTAGAAAGAATCTAAGATTTCCAAAGCTGGCTTATGTTCCATGGTTTGCTTTTCACCTTAGGGCAAACCAACGGGGTAACCACCGTTCTTTTTTGAATCTCTGGTTTGAGGCCCAAATGAAAACCTGTTGGGCCCAGGGACTCGGTGCTTCACAACAAGGACTGAGGGCTGTGATCACTGGCGAAGCGCGCGGCATGGACATCGATCGCTTTTGCCAATCTGCAAGTTGGGCATCCATCTTGAACTCATTACACGCATGTATAGGTGCTTTTCTTGCCGACTGGAAAAATCGCACCTCGCCAGTGATCGACAGCTTTGCACCATATCACTGTCTTGGCAGTGCGGCTGCGACAAGCGCTTTGGGCAAACGGCATCATTTGTATTGTGCCGTTGAGCCCAGGAGCAACTTGCCCAGCCAGCACGCAAGCTTTGTAATCGTATTGAATTGAGACCGGGCATGACGACCACGGTAATTGATTCGGTGAGGTCAATCAGTGCTACAATTGGGCGGATCAAGCAAGGGTGCCTGTTGCATTTTCAATTACCGCGATAGTCCGCCCAACATGGTCCAACATGGAGGTTTGGACATGACCCATAGGATGATTTCCCAATTGCAACTCACCAACAATAGGTACACAACCGAGGCCTACTTCGCGGAGATTGCCGGTTTGTAAAAAAATGAACTGAGTCATGGAGCGTGAGTATCAACCCAGACCCACTTTAGCAGGGACCTCAATGCTTCAATGGAATGACGACATCACTATGAATGGGATGCGTCACCATGCCCGGACATGGCATTGAAGTTTGGCTGCCGGCAATTCGGCGCCTTCAATCGCTTCAATGTGTCACTTGCTCGTTGAGGCGATCCCCCGCCGCAGGTCTAGAAAACGGGTTTGGAGAGGCGCTTTGAGGCGGATTTTTCGCCGGTTCTTCCCCCTGCAGATTCTTTTCGAGTACTCGTTTTAGTACTCTTTTAGTATCCCACAGGGGTGGTTCCACAGATTTGCCACATCCAAAGCGTTTTCTAGGGCAATGTGGTGGTAGCAGAACATGCTTCTGTTAGCTGGCGTAGGGACGGTACCTGCCTAAAGGCGGATCCCATTCCCTATAGGAGACACTCCATCGAGACGGTTTCCACCATGCGAGTGCATAGGGCCACTAAATGAATTCCAAGGACGGCTAGGGAACAATGAGTACTGACTGTGGCTCCTACGGAATCTCTCCATGATCATCTCTTGAAACTCAAGTCAAGGATTGTGAAACAACACTTGACTGAGAGACAAGAGGTCTTTCAAGATGCGTGCAAGAGCGACCAGGCCAACCAAGGCTTCAGTTGTCTTATGCTTCCGTGGACCGGCGAAGTTTTCGTGTCTCGTGTCTCTGACGTGCCGGAGAGCCAACCCGTGGCAGGGCACGGATTGAAAGATGTGCGGAGAAAAGCAAGGATCAGAATTCATGGGTCACGGCAGCTGCGTTTTGTGGCTGTCCCAAGAATGCTGGTCATGTGGATTTCCCTGGAACCCCAACCAGAGGGTTCCCCTGAAGGAAAACGAAAGGGACCCATGAGAGCGCCAACTCGGGTTTCGGACCTGAAGTCGAGATTGAGAGAGCTTGCCAGACGGCCGCTTGTAATAAACTCACGTGAGCTTACGTGTCTTATTTGCTGCAATATGGGTGGTGTTCCATTTTGCTTGGTTTTAGAGGGAATCGAAATTGCCTCTGGAGATATGTTCTCATTTGTTCCAGACTTAAGCAAATGGAAGGTGTCCCTTAGTCTCGAAGGATGAGGCTCGTTGAGTGCTCACGGAGTTTCCCATAGGCAAGGCATCGATTTTTTGGGGAGGGTTCCCCTACTAAAATAGACTACATAAAATTGGATACCCTTATTCTAACCTCTCTACTGGAGGGCCTAGAAGCTCAGGTCACTGCAAAAGCCGCCCTCCCTTGACAGGCCATGGCATTTTTGGGCTTTTTCTTTGCCTGAGAGAGCGTACAGCTTCAACCAATTCCCCCCACAAAGCAAGAGTCAAACAGCGCTGGCCCGGTCGATGTCCGGAAAGGCAATGCCAATGGTTGTCCCAAACATAGCATCACCATTACACACACCCTGAAGGGGACCCCGCAAACCCTCCTCCAAGCCCCCTTGAGAAACACTCAACTAGACCATTGTTGCTTAGTGGCTCCCAGCCATCCCCTTAGCTTTTTAGCCTTTTAGTGTTTAGTGGTAGGTTCCATTTAACCCACTAAAGTTATTCACTTTTCGCGGGGATCTGAGGGCAGCCCAGGTTGGAGGTATGTTTGGGGGGGTGGGGGGGGCCACTCCCGAAGAAACCGGCGTTCTACCCGCGGGATTGAGCCATGCCAAAGCGGCCGCCAGACGATGCCAGGCGGGTGATTAGTGCTAGCGTTCTAGCCATACTTATAGTAGGGCTTGTATCTAGGGTTCTTGGATACGTAGGTTACCTGGATAACCCACAACCTGGAGACTCCTATGTTTAAGGGTTGACTAAGTATGAAACAGAATCTACACATGTTATTTGCCACCCAAAACCCACACCCCCAAATTGATAGGTACCTTGGAGACTCGGGGCTAAGGCTGCCCGGGTTTCTTTTTAATCTGGAGGCGTACTAAATAAGTGTGATATGATCCCCTTGAAAGGTGGCCCTTCATTATGAGCTTTTCGTAGTAGCTGATTGTAGTCTTAAGTTAGACCGTGGCATAGCCACAAAATCATACCATGATGAACTTGCCTCACGTCATGATATGTTCATGCAAAGCAGCCTGCTGGTGCTCGGGAATCAAGAGAGGTTTTGGGGCATGACCCTGAATATCTCCTAGAAAGCACCACAAGGAATGCTTCATAGGCTCGCTCCCTTATTCCCTGCTACAATTCATACCGCACAGGTTGTATTGACAAAACTGCGGATCTATGCCCCGTGTGCTAGCTTGCAAGGATTGGCAGCTGACTGGTGTCATGGTGTGATTGTTTACAAGGGTTATCAAGTTAGAAACTGAGGTTGCTTCTCTTTACACTACCTCTCAAGGGGGGACTTGGACAGTGAGAATATCGTGGGGCCAGATTCAGCTCTGAAGAACCAGGTGCAACGACCTCTGTTCAAAGTTTTGTTGGTGCTCACTTTCAGGAATGTGCAGAGTGGTGCTGGCAGACACCTGTGTTGTTGCTCAAGTGGAATCTCTTGTAACGTACACGAAAACATGTGGAAACACTAGCCTTTGCCAAGAGCCCTGTTTTTTTTTTTTTTAGCAGCTACGCTGCCGTTCAGTCCGTTCTACTTGCTAAATTGCAATGAAGAACGTTTGTGGCGTTGGTTGTTGCGTTTGATTCTATGCGCTTTTTGAGGGTGTTGGTTGTGCCATCCAGGATTCGATGAAATCACGTGTTGAGAAGGAGCCAACCATTTTAGACCTGACTTTGAGACATCCCCATATGCCGAAGGTCTAGGAGTCTAGGAGTTGATTCCGCATTCTCGTCACCCATCGTTCTCTTCAGAAACCACCCAATTTTTCAGCGGCTGGCCCGTTTTCAGAAGAGAATAATCCCGGAACTGGAATGGAAGGTACAGTAAAGGAAACCTACCAAATGGGTTTGTATCAAGATTGCAAAACCAGAAAGGGCGATTTGATCTTTGGCCTTCTTATAGCCCCAAAAGGGTTCCTTTCTTCCATTTCCTGAAATGAATCGTCTTTACTAGGTCTCCCAGTAGTACCCTTTTACCCTTTTTTGGAAAAGGGTTCCGCTAGTAAAATAGAGAGAAACCAAGTTGGAGGACCTAGTTTATGTCCGTTGGCTTCAAAGGGCATGAATTTCACGTCGCCTTTCACTCGGTGAGGCAGGCGACGCGCTCTGCGTTCAAGGACCTGAGAGATCGATGGAGGGGCCACGAGCTGGCGAAGGACGGGACGAGCCAAAATGCGGAAAGATGGGGTAGAGCTTATCGGATGGGTTGTCCGCAATCTGAAGGCATGGGAGAACGTGGTAGTCGTGAGCAAACATGATTACATACGATGAACACAGACAATGGCTAGAACATGTCTCCGGTTTAAAGCCTTGTTGTTGGAATACAACCATAATTTATATAACATCTTATCATTTGGACTCTTATCATGTTGACTTTCGTCATAGGCACTTTCACCCTATTTTTGACTCCCCACAGCCACCACTGCCACAGCTGTCGCGGAAGTCGCAACTCGCATGACCCCAATGATTCCAGGCCATTTGCTTGTGCTGCCATCTTTGCTTAGAACCCACCAATGGACAACTGCTGGTTACTGTCCCGGGTTCCGCTGGGGGTCATGTTTAGGGCCGTCGCAGGCCCTGGCACCCTTGTCCCCCTCGTGGATCATAATCGTCATGGCTGTCACAGTCACAGGTTCTGGCATGTAATCATACTGATTGATCATGCACGTTCATACATGTTTGTATGGGGAATGGTTTAGTTGGACCGGCATGTCCAACGCGTTGGCATGATGGTGATTCAACTTGCTATGTGGTATGAGATGCAAGATGCAAGGGTGAGTATGGGTGAACATTGTATACAGGAGTTGCAACTCATTATTGTTTATGCAGTCGCAAGCAGCGAGAATGGCGGCATGCTATTCTCTCAATGATTCTGCCAGTAGATCACCTCCCCCTTCTTTAATGTACGGAGGGGTGGGGGTACATGTACGCGACTTGTGGGGGTTGGTGCCAGTCGCCTTTCTTACGAGCTAGGTTGAAGCCTGAGCTCATTTGATGCACTTCAGCGAGGGCGGTTGCTCCAGTGGGTGCACGTAAACAAGTGCCAGACAGGCAATCACCCTTGGTTCACTCTTTGGGGTGTCCTCAGATTCCTCAAGGGTAGCAAAAGGAAGTCAAGAATGTGAGGGGAAGAGGCTCAGCTTGAGATTTGGCTCTGGCTCATGGAAAGTTTCAATGACCGCGGACGGCAGATGAACACTTTTCGTCAGAGAGCTTTGTAGGGCCTAGAAACTCGTTTGAACATCGCCGCAAGCGAGCCCAGGCGATCGAGCAGCTCTTGGCTGATCCCACAGAGTTCGCGGAGGAAAGCCACAGCTGGGACCTCTGTGGAGTGGGCCGTCCGTGAAAAAGGGCATGGCTCGTCGAAAAGTCGGATGGGAGGCTCTCAGCCAAGCCCCCAAGAGCATGCGAAATTGATGGTAGTGATGTGATCCATGAACATCGATGTCATCATCACCATCACCAGGCGAAATTGATGGCATGCGAAACTTTGGAACCTTTGAACCAACAAAGTGATCCATCGAAGTTTCGAAGGTGTTGCTGGAGGAAAGCTTGTTCATGTTTTTGTGGCGGTCCGCTCCTTTGGGACACCCAAGATTAAGGGGGGAATCGTCTTTTGCATTTGATGCATGGCGCATGCCGGGCCTGAGCAATGGACAAAGGGATTGCGCCAACCATCTAGAGTAGGTGCAGAAAGATATGGAGGCAGCTTGTTCGTGATGATAGCTTGCTTTCCCTGGCAGAATCAAATACGTTTCTATTTCACACGACCCAAAGTCAGCCCCATGACGATGGTTAAGGCTTCTAAGGTGGTCGGATCTTCAGCCCTCTCGTCAGCTCATCCGAGGCTGGAGCCAGGCCGCAGGCATTCATCTCCTGGCGCCGCAGGCGGCCATTCGCGGCTGCCAGCCGCTGGCGAAGAACGCCATGCACGACGGCCGCGGGGAGCCGAAAAAGAAGAGGGAAGGGCAAAGCGGTATGTATGTGTATATGTATATGTTTTGTATTTGTATTTGCATTTGTGTTTGTATTTGTATGTGTGTGTGTATATGTATATGTATTTGTATGTGTGTTTGCATTTGTAGTTGTATGTGTATATGTATATGTATTTGTATGTGCAGATGTATTTGTATTTGTATGAATGTGAATTTGCATTTTGGGTGCCCTGGGAGGGGGAGGGGTACTCTTTACGAGCTTTGTAGGCCTTGGTTTTTCCCGGAAGCATTGCGAAGGGTTCTTCTTCTAAAAGCGGCTGCCAACTTCACCTGCCAACTTCTCATGCCAACTTGTCGAGAGTTACTTCACCTGCCAACTTCTCATGCCAACTTGTCGAGAGTTACTTCACCTGCCAACTTCTCATGCCAACTTGTCGAGAGTTACTTCACCTGCCAACTTCTCATGCCAACTTGTCGAGAGTTACTTCACCTGCCAACTTCTCATGCCAACTTGTCGAGAGTTACTTCACCTGCCAACTTCTCATGCCAACTTGTCGAGAGTTACTTCACCTGCCAACTTCTCATGCCAACTTGTCGAGAGTTACTTCACCTGCCTACTTCTCATGTCAACTTGTCGAGAGTTACTTCACCTGCCTACTTCTCATGTCAACTTTTTGAGAGTTACTTCACCTGCCAACTTCTCATGTCAACTTTTCGGCTGTTATCTCATTCTACTAAAAGCACAAGCTAATTTGTCGGGTGTTACTTCACTATCCTAAAAACACAAGCTAACTTTTCTGTTCTACCTTCACATCTCGACTCTTAATTCTTCTTCTTTTTATGGCGGGGGTAGGCCCGACGGGAGCTTACGAAACGCACCCCTCTGCGGAGATCGTGCGTGTCGAAGCGCTCTCGCTGTGGCGCCGTGCGAATTTGTCTTGTGAACCCTCTGCGGAGATCGTGCGTGTCGAAGCGCTCTCGCTGTGGCGCCGTGCGAATGTCTTGGAACCCTCTGCGGAGATCGTGCGTGTCGAAGCGCTCTCGCTGTGGCGCCGTGCGAATTTGTCTTGACCTTGGCGAACCCTCTGCGGAGATCGTGCGTGTCGAAGCGCTCTCGCTGTGGCGCCGTGCGAATTTGTCTTGAGCGCGGCGAACCCTCTGCGGAGATCGTGCGTGTCGAAGCGCTCTCGCTGTGGCGCCGTGCGAATTTGTCTTGACCTTGGCGAACCCTCTGCGGAGATCGTGCGTGTCGAAGCGCTCTCGCTGTGGCGCCGTGCGAATTTGTCTTGACCTTGGCGAACCCTCTGCGGAGATCGTGCGTGTCGAAGCGCTCTCGCTGTGGCGCCGTGCGAATTTGTCTTGACCTTGGCGAACCCTCTGCGGAGATTCTGCGTGTCGAAGCGCTCTCGCTGTGGCGCCGTGCGAATTTGTCTTGAGCCCGATGAACCCTCTGCGGAGATCGTGCGTGTCGAAGCGCTCTCGCTGTGGCGCCGTGCGATTTTCTTGCTCGCGAAACGGCTTTTGGAAGTTGTCTCGTGGTGTGCGCGCCTGCTTTCGCAATCCCGCGGTCCCGGGTTCGATTCCCCCCTGGTCCGCGGCAGCTCCGGCTTGAAAATCGCAGCTTTTAAGTACAAACGTAGTACGCGGAGCGTGCTCCTGCAGCTCCGGCTGGCAAATCGCAACTTTAAGTACAGACGTAGTACGCGGAGCGTGCTCCTGCAGCTCCGGCTGGCAAATCGCAACTTTTAAGTACAGACGTAGTATGCGGAGCGTGCTCCCGCAGCTCCGGCTGGAAAATCGCAACTTTTAAGTACAAACATAGTACGCGGAGCACATTCCCGCAGCTCCGGCTGGAAAATCGCAACTTTTAAGTACAAACGTAGTACGCGGAGCACACTCCCGCAGCTCCGGCTGGAAAATCACAACTCTTAAGTATAAAAAAATAGTACGCGAAGTACATTCCCACAGCTCCGGCAGCACTTGCTCAGAGCAACTTGCGTAGAGCAACTTGCGCAGAGCAACTTGCACAGAGCACTTGCACAAAGCACTTGCGGACCTATCTCGGCGCGGAGAGCGTCTCCCCAGCTCCGCCGGAAAAAGAAGAAAGAACTCAGAATCGAGAAGACCGTGCGATTTTCTTGCTCGCGAAACGGCCTTTGGAAGTTGTCTCGTGGTTTGCGCGCCTGCTTTCGCAATCCCGCGGTCTCGGGTTCGATTCCCCCCTGGTCCGCGGCAGCTCCGGCTTGAAAATCGCAGCTTTTAAGTACAAACGTAGTACGCGGAGCGTGCTCCTGCAGCTCCGGCTGGCAAATCGCAACTTTTAAGTACAGACGTAGTACGCGGAGCGTGCTCCTGCAGCTCCGGCTGGCAAATCGCAACTTTTAAGTACAGACGTAGTATGCGGAGCGTGCTCCCGCAGCTCCGGCTGGAAAATCGCAACTTTTAAGTACAAACATAGTACGCGGAGCACATTCCCGCAGCTCCGGCTGGAAAATCGCAACTTTTAAGTACAAACGTAGTACGCGGAGCACACTCCCGCAGCTCCGGCTGGAAAATCACAACTTTTAAGTACAAAAAAATAGTACGCGAAGTACATTCCCACAGCTCCGGCAGCACTTGCTCAGAGCAACTTGCGCAGAGCAACTTGCGCAGAGCAACTTGCACACAGCACTTGCACAAAGCACTTGCGGACCTATCTCGGCGCGGAGAGCGTCTCCCCAGCTCCGCCGGAAAAAGAAGAAAGAACTCAGAATCGAGAAGAGAAGGTAGAAAAGGAAAAGTCGGCTTGCAATGTAACGCCTGAAAAAAATACGTGCGCTTTACGATGCCGAAGAAACGCCCGAGAAGTTAGTTTGCGTTTTAGGATAGTGAAGTAACACTCGAAAATTTGGCTTGTGTTTTGGGACAGTGCATTTGGCTTGTGAAGTGAGATTGGGCAGTTGGCAGTTGTCATTGGCTTGTGAAGTGAGATTGGGCAGTTGGCTTTTGTAATTGGCTTGTAAAATAAACATGCGCAGTTGGATTTTGGAGTGATAGGCAGCTGACAAGAGCAATAGTAGCCGAAGCTTGGATGTCATGAGTGTCTCAGTAGCGGAGCTTGCCCAGAGAATGTTTGCGTCGACAGTTGATTAGGGCGACACGGCTTCCCGACCTGATTTATCGAGTTGTAGAAAAAAGATACATCGCATCATTTGCAGCCATGGCTCCTTTCGGTTCTTTGTTGTCAGAGCTGGGTTTTGAGAACGTGGATGCTTTCACGGTGCCTTTCGCAGACGTGAAGAAGAAGTACTTCCAGTGGCTTCGCCAGAACCATCCTGACAAGCAGGCCAACAGCTGCACGCCGCAGGTGGATCCGGAGCGAGTGAGAGCTGTCCTGGCAGCCTGGGACGACTTCCGTGATTTTCGTCAAGGAGACCAGTCGTCCGCTGCCTCTTCCCGCCGTGAAGAGCCGCGTGCTGCTGGCGAAGAGGATCCATGGGGATACCGGCAAACTGGTCGCTTTCCATCGGCAAAGCCTGCTTCCAAGTCGGCATCCTCTACTTCTGCGCCCAAGGCTGCGCCGCATCCTCCGGTGGATGTGGGACCTTGCTTTCACGCTCCACACTGCAAGAAGTTCTTCAAGAAGCACGGCCAAAAGACGGCCAAGAAGATGAGGGAGTACTTGTTCTTGTATGCAGCGGAGGATCGCTGCCTGACATGCTTGCGCTTCTTTGCTGACTCGCCGGACTTCGATGTTGGCTGCACCTCTTGCGGCAAGGGCGCAGAAGAATGGGCGCTAGATGGAGCTAATGGCTTCCCGCTTGACGATGACTTGGTGGACTTCTTTGGAAAGCTGAAGCTGTGATGGACGGCGGGCGGTCTGTGCGGCGCAGGCGGATCTTTCCGAAACGTCGCCGACTGGCTCTGCATTCCACAGCTCCTGGACCTTCCGGTCTGTGCGGCGCAGGCGGATTTTTTTCCCTGGCGTCCTTGAAGTTGCTGGCGCTGCCAGGGCTTTCTGCCGCACACGATTGCTGCCGACAAAAAATGTGCATTATGAGTGTCTCAGTAGCGGAGCTTGCCCAGAGAATGTTTGCGGCGACAGTTGATCAGGGCGACACGGCTTCTTTGTGTTGGTGCTATGCTTCATTTTTTGGAGGGGTGCTCCATGAGGTTGCTGTCGCTTGTCACTGCTGCTTGCACGTGCATTCATGCTCAAGGCAGTTTTCCGTGTTAGTGCTGTAGAAGGTGTCATCGCTCAGATTGCATCTTCCGAAGTGCGGATTCGTTTCCTTGGCGCACCAATCTTGTCAAAGCAGTTACAGACAGCGGGTGGCCAGAAGATATCAGAGTCGCGCGGCGCTGGCGGGTATTTCCGACGTGTCGTGTTGCCATGTCGCATTCTGGTCGCCAGCGACGTGCGCAGGCTGGACGTTGGCATGCGAGAGCGCACGATTGTTTCGCATACCCCTCTTGGTTTTTGGAATTACCACTTTTGGCTTGCGCTGTTGGTTTCCACCGTGCGTCTTTCAGCGCACGCAGCAGGCTGCGAATCCCTTGGATGCTCTTCCTGATGCTGAGCATTTACGGGCTGAAGCAGCAGTACATGGTCAAGACTGGCTCCATGCTGAGCTGGATGGCTCGATGAAGCTGGACAAGCTTCGTGCCTTCGCAGCTGGCCTCGGCGTGCAGCAAAAGGATCCCGCATCTGGTAGTCGGCTTTCCAAGAGCCAGCTGCTTGAAGTTGTGGTTGCAGCTCTACGTTCGCGACCTGACACAGAGGCATGGTTTCGCAGTTTCCGACGTGTCGTGTTGCCATGTCGCATTCTGGTCGCCAGCGAAGTGCGCAGGCTGGACGTTGGCATGCGAGAGCGCACGATTGTTGCGCATACCCCTCTTGGTTTCTTGGAATTACCACTTTTGGCTTGCGCTGTTGGTTTCCACCGTGCGTCTTTCAGCGCGCGCAGCAGGCAGCGAATCCTTTGGATGCTCTTCCTGATGCTGAGCATTTACGGGCTGAAGC